TGTATCCTCCTCATCCCATGGAGGTCCGGCATGGCCTCCCGCCTCTCTGCCCCATTACTGCCTCCACCTGCCCAGCCTTGCTTCCCCATCCTAGTTCCCCCCATCACTCCCCTTCTCCCCCCCCCCCCCCCCCCCGCCTTTCTGCCTCTCTGTGCTTTCCTCCTACTCCATCTTCACCTCATGTGTGTGCCCCTCCTCTCTCCTCGTCCAGTTCTCAGGAGGGGCCCCTCACCCTCCTCTTCCCTGTCTTCCTCTCTTCCTCGGCATCGTCCTGCCTGGTCTATCCCTGCCCAGCCAGGCCCTCTCCACGAGGCCCGCTCCCATCTCCGTCTTTCTCTCTCCACGTGCCCACCCAGCACTCCCTACCCATTTCTCCCGTGAGCTCTGGTCTCCTGCTCCCCCTCCCTCCTCCTGACTGTCCCCCAGGCTCCCCTGGGGGGGGGGGGGGGGTAGGGGTAGGGCGTAGGAAAGGGGAGCCGGGGAACTGGAGGAGAGCATTGGGGCTAAGAGGAGAGGTGGGGCCGAAACCGGTTTGGCTCAGTGGTAGAGCATCGGCCTGCGGACTGAAAGGTCTCAGGTTCGATTCCGGTTAAGGGCGTGTACATTGGTTGCGGGCACATCCCCGGTAGGGGGTGTGCAAGAGGCGGCTGGTCGATGTTTCTCTCTCATCGATGTTTCTAGCTCTCGATCCCTCTTCCTTCCTTCCTCCCTGTGGAAAATCAATAAAATATATTTTTTTTAAAAAGAGGAGAGGTGGGGAAAGAGGAAGGAAAGGAGTGAGCCCTGGCCCAGGGAGGTGAGCAGATGGGAGGGAGGGGCCTGGCGGAGTGGGGATGTGAGAAGCGGGGAGAGAAGATGGAGGAAAGAGCCTGTGGGGGGAGGGCGAGGAGAGACGCCGACGGGATGTTGGTGTTGGGATTGCCTCGGCGACGGCCTGCAGAGGGGCCATGGCTGCCTGCTGGCCCCGGAGCAGAGGAGGGCTGAGGCCGGGGCAGTGCGGGCGGTGCGGGCGGTGGCGGGAGACGGCCGGAAGGAGCGGGAGGTGAGCAGGTGGAGGAAGGAAGAGGTCAGAGGTCAGGTGGAAGAGCAGGGAGCAGGGCAGAGGCCACCTGTCGGGCGGCACCCACCTCCGCGCCCCTCGCCGCGGGGCTGGCAAAGGACAGGCTTCCCTTGGGGGGCCCCCTCCCCTCTCTGCCCCGTGTCTCCTCAGCACCCCCAGGCCGGGAGCCTCTCTTCTGCACCCGCTTCTCTCCTCCCCTCCCGTCTGGGGTCTCACTCTTTTCCTCTTGCTTCCTCCCCCCTGCTCTTCACTCTTTCCTCCGTGTACCCTTCCACCCCTCAGCTCCCCCCCCCCCCACCCCCGTTACATAATGTCCCTACGACCCAGTCACCGTGGCCCTCCGGCACCTGATGCTGGTCTAGGCCCGGGAGCACCGTACAACTGGGCCCTCAGACTGGCCTGGGAGGTGACAGTCTCTTGTCCTTGACCCCAGCTTCGGTTTCGGGGTCTTTGAGGCACTCACCAGCCCCGGCTTCCATGGCGGGGACCCCCTGGCGCCAGGGAGGACGGGGCCATCCAGCTCAGCCTGGGCCAGTAGCTTCCAGTTCAGGGTTCGCCCCTCCAGCTTCGAAAGGGGCGGGCGGGTGCGTTCACATGGGTGTGTTTCTAACTGGATGGTTTTGGCCTGGAAGGGAGCGGGTACTGTATTCCAGGGGTCAGAGCCCGGCGTCGGAGCTGTGGAGAGTCCCCTGGGCGGGGGGGCCCTTAGACAAGAGTGGGGGTGGCTGGAGCTCCTAGGAGCGGTCTTTGGGGACCGAGTGGGACTGCTCTGTCCTCTCACTGTTCCGTACCATCCGGAAGGTGTGTGTCATGGCTTCTGACGCCGCGGGGCGATGGGCACATGTATGTTCCGCCACAGGGCAGCCCCGCATGCGTGCCTCCCTGAGGGGTCTGTGGTTCGGGTCCGGGTGAGCTCACGTGACCAGTGGAGGGCTGGCTTTCTCTGGAATGCAGGAGTGTGGGAACTCTGTTAAATTCTGGATCTTTGGAGTGTCTTCCCGGACCAGTGGGGCGTCGAGGGGACTGTGTTGGGTGTGGGCCTTTGGGGGGTGGGCCAGAGCGCGTTTGTCTTGAGCTTCTGGGGTGTGCGCACCCCAGGGAGCTCCCCAGTGGTTTCCGGGGAGACGGGAAACCGTGGGTCTGGACTGCCCAGGCAGCATGTGGGCCTTGGTTCAGGCCCCTGCTCCACGGCCCTTGCTGGGCTGAGGTTCTGGACGCGGTACGGAGCCCGAATCCGGCTCTCGGTGCCAGTCTCCTGGGCGCCTGGTGGCCAGGACAGCTTGGGGGTGAGAGGCCAGAGGCCCCTGAGACCCCAGTGGGCCCAACCCGAGGGACCGGGCAGAGCCCGCCCCTGCCCTCCCTGCCAGCCCTCTGGCCCCGGCGGGAGGCGGGCCGGGAGGGCACTGTCTGCCGGGGCAATGACAGCCGCCGCCTTAACTGGGTGCTGGCACGGAGCTGGGCCTCTGCCCGACCCCCACCGAGTCACCAAGGCCTTTAGGCCTCCCAGGCTCGCCGCCGAGTCACCTGGCTGCAGGGGAGCCGCTGGGCCGTCAGCCCCGGGGAGGCCGGGAGGCCAGGCTACAGGGCGGGGCGGGACTCGCACCCGGCCTGCCCAGCCCCAGCTCAGCCCCGGCCCAGCCCCTGCCCTCGCGCCTCCGGGCCAGCCTGCCTTTGTGCGCCCACCAACACGTTTCACGGGCTCCGCGTCTCCTGTGGGTGTGCCTTTGTGTGCAGCCGGTGGCCTTCCCCTGCGGGTGGTGCCGGCCTGCGGTGTGGCCCTGGTGGTGTGCATTGTGGGCCTGGGGCTTGGGGTGCCAGTGCCCTCTGATCCTCAGCCTCATGCCCCGTGGGACAGGGGCTGCCCGCACCTCAGGCCCCGGGCTCGGGGGCGCTCTGCTCTCCAGGATTAGGCGTGGTCTTTGTTACCGGGAGGTGGGGGTAGGGGGAAGGGAGGAGAAAGGGCCTCCTTGAGCCCTGACCTGGGAGATGTGGGGGCTGGGCCCAGGCCGATGGTGTTTCCTTGCTGATTGGAGGGACCCAGAAACCCGATAAGCCCCTTCTTCGCCTGGCTGGGAGGCCCCGGGCCCAGGGGTGAAGGGGCGGCAGCCTCTGGCCCCCCGAGTCTGGGAGGGGTGTGGGGGAGGTCAGCATCTCAGCTCCCGGGGCTCCCCACCCCCACATTTGGCCATGCAGTTTGTGAGTGGAGGGAGAAGGGAGGACTCTGGTATCACGGTCGCCATGGAAACAGCCGGATTTCCGAGTGCTGCCTTGGGAGTGGAGACTGGGCTGGCTGAGGCCTACCTGCTCTGGCCTCAGGCCCTGCCTTCCCGGCAGGGGGCCCGCCCGCCCTGTGCGGGGTGCTGCTCCCTGTGTGCTCGGCCCCCATCCAGCTCTCCACCCTGATCTTGGGGTCCCATCCTGAGGAATAACCCTCAGCACTGGGCCTTCGGGGGGCGGGAGCAGGTGGGAAGGACCTGCTGGCGGGGTGTCAGCTAGGAGACTTAAGGTGGGGCCACCCCTCCCTCTGGCCCTGCCTGGGAGCCTGAGGGCATTGGTTCAGGGCTCGGGAACAGCTCCCGCTCCCCCTTCGCCAGGCCCTGCGGCCCAGGCACAGCCCTCCGCTCAGCTCCTCCGCGGCCTCAGAAGCCCCCTCTTGGGGGACCTGGGAACTTCCTGGGCTAGCGCCCCCCTCCCTGACCGGCGCTGCCTGAACTGCCCACAGGTGCTTGAGGGCCTGGCCTCAGCGCGACCGGTTGGTCTGCCCTCTTAGCGGGCACTTTTGCCCTCCAGCGGCGGCCCTCCTGCCCCAGGCCCCAGCTCCCTGACCCCCGGTTTCCACCCCGCCCAGAGCCCTCCCACCTCCAGGCCCACGTCTCTCCCGCCCGCCCGGGCTCCGGCTCTGCCCGGCTGCCCCTCCCGCTGTGCATAAACCCTCTTCGAACCCCTCTGCCCCCAAGAAGTGCTCAGAGAGGAGTAGTTAGTGCCTAATTATTTAATTAAGCATTTATGACTCTCCTAAAGAAGGCAGGATGTTCCCTCCCCTCCTCTGAAGGCCCCGGAGTGCCAGTCCTTCAGGCCCTCGGGCGCCAGCCTTCCGGACCACACCGGCCGCCGTGGTCCGCACCCCCTGCCCTAGGCCTCCCGGACAGACTCCCTTCCTGGAAACTGGGTGACCAGCCCCCCCCCCCAGCCATCCGCCCGCCCCCCCGTCCCCAGGGAGCCCAGTCAGCGGCAGGAGGGAACGTGGAGACTAATGGGGTTTATTTTGGGGCTGAATCGTTAGGGACCTCACACCCGCCCCCGGCAGCCGGATGGAGAAGAGGAGACGGAGAGGGGGTGGGGTGGGGGAGGGCAGGCCGAGGAGCCTTCATCTCTGCCTCCCGCTCTCCCACTTTCTCTCACCTACACCCCAGTCTGCCCCTCTGTCCATCTGTCCTGCCTTCCTCCTCCTCTGGCTGTCAGTCTCACCCCCCCCCCCCCATCAGGTCTGTCCTTTCTGGGCCGGGCTCCAGGCCCCCCCATTGTGGGGCCCAGGCAGCCCCTCGTTGTGTGTGGAAGCAGAGTCCTGGGCGAGCTGGGCCAGGATTTCCAGGGCCCGGAGGGTGCAGGCAGGCGCTGGAGGGGTGCCAGCCTGTGGGCTGTGAGTCAGAGCTGGGCACAGCTCCGCTCCCCCTCCTGCCGGGGGCTCCTCTGCCTGGTGCCTGCTCCGCTCCGGCCCTCAGAGGCCCTCCCCTCGGAGCCGTCCCCGCTCCAGCCCCGGCGGACGCGAGCTCAGGCCCCGGGCCTCCCGGCCCCAGCGGGCCGCTGGCTCTCTCGGGGCCACGCTGCCACCTCTCTGTTCTGCTGTAATTAAAGCCACCGTCCCTCAGGACGGCAGGAAGGCTGGGGTCCTCGTGAACCTGCTGATGTCACATCGCCCTCCCTCTCCTCCTCTCCGCAGCCGGGACCACCTACATCTTCGGGAAGGGGGGGGCGCTCATCACCTACACGTGGCCCCCCAACGACCGGCCGAGCACGCGCATGGACCGCCTGGCCGTGGGCTTCAGCACGCACCAGCGGAGCGCCGTGCTGGTGCGCGTGGACAGCGCCTCGGGCCTCGGCGACTACCTGCAGCTGCACATCGTAAGGACCGGCCCCGCCCCGCCCCCTGGCCTCCGACCCCTGGCCCCACCCCGACCTTCCCACCCAGACCCCACCGGCCCCTTCGCTCCCTGCTAGCCCCTCAGATCACCCCTCGCTCGAAGCCCTCTGTGCCCTGACTCCTGGGCTTCCGCTCTGCTGCTGCCTCTGAGGCCATCCCTGCCTGTCATTCCCGAGAGCCTGTCTCACCGCTGACGTGAGGCCCCTCCCCGGCTCCCTGAGGCCACCTGTGTCCTCTGACCTTCCCGAAGGCAGCCAGGGCCTCCTGAGTCTTCCGGAAATGTCCCCACAGGCTGACGGCCCGGGCTGCGGCTTGCTCACCCCTAGACGGGTTAGGAGAGCCCCCCCCCCCCCCCCCTGCCCCTGTCCCTGTTGCCTCCTCACCCTCCCTGTGCCAGCAGCCCACCTGCTGCTTCACCTGGCCTTCTCAGCCTGCCCCCCGCCTCTGCCCTCCCTTGACCTCTGTTCCCATGACCTTTGCTCTCCCAGCCACCCTCTGACCCTGCCACCTGCTCTGACTGTCACTCCTACAGCCTCTCTGACCTCTAGGCTCCGCCCCAAACCCCCACCTTGACCTCTGACCCCACCCAGCTCTGCCTTTCTCTGCCCAGCTGCTCCCTGGGGCTGCTTCCTTCCTCAATCTCTGCTCCTCCCTGCCTCCCTCTGCCGCCGCCCGTCGAACTCGAACCCGCAGCCCCTGTCCTCGCAGTCTTCATCCTGCAGCTGGTCCTCAGGCAGCGGCTTCCCCCCTCCCCGCACACTCTTCCCCGCAAGCTGCCCGCCGCCTCCTCATCCTGCTCTGGCCCTCCCCGTGCTTTTACCCCGGGCTCTACCTCCACCCCTTCCCCACCCTACAGCCCTTTGCAGCCTCTTTCCGCCTGCACTCTGCAGGCTGACCCTGCCCGGGCCCCAAGCTGGGGTTCAGCAGGTGGCCAGGCTTGTGTGTGGAGAGGGAGAGGTCTGGGGGAGTCCCCGGGCTTTGGGGGGGTGCGTGAGGAAGCCGGGGGAGAGGGCTTGTCTGGGCTCCGGCCCATCCCCATCTGATTGGGACCATGGCTACTGGCCGCTCCTTATGCAACAGCTCTTTAGGGACCCACGGCTGCACACCTCCCCCAGCCAGGGAGCCCCGGGAGGAGGTGTGAGGAGAGATGTCCTGTGGGCAGAGAGAGCAGGAGTGGAAGTGGCAGCTGATGGGCGCTGAGGGGGGCGGAACGGGCAGGGTGAGTGGAGGGGGGGGTGCAGGGCGCGGAGGGAGGGGGCAGGGTGTGGAGTGGCCTGGGGAGGAGGCCCGTGCCCGGGCCTGGTGAGTGAGACACAGCGTCTCGGCTGTGGGTGAGAGACGGTGTGGCTGTGATGACAGCGGGGCAGGGCCTGTCAGGAGTGGCAGTGTGACCTGGTTGTGGGGCCGATGAGAAGGCTGTGTCTGGCCTCTGGTCGGGCCGCTCGGTCTGAGCTCCGGGCGGCGCAGTGTCTGTGGTGTCGGCCTCCGGACCCCGTGTGGAGACGTGGAGACGGGCTGTCTCTGTGGCCTCTGTGACCGAGGCAGTTCTTGCCCCCGGCCGTGGAGCAGGGACCTGGGCTTGGGTCCCCCTGCCCCCTCCTCCTCTCGGTGCAGAGCCCGCGCCCCCCCTGCGCTGTGCAGGCTGGGCGGACGGGGCGCAGTGCGGGCTGAAGGGATCATGCGTGTAAAGCAGGGGGACGCCGCTCAGCCCGGGAAGGCCCCTGTCAGCCGGCGCCACCTGTGACTCACCGGGGCGTGCGGTCTGTCCCGTGTCCGCCTCTGACTGCCGAGTCGCAGGTTTAGGGCACCGGCTCCCGATGCTAGCGGGGCGGTCGGGGCCAGGGCGTGGGGAAGGGGCCTTGCCTGCTGCCGGGTCAGGGGAGCAGGCTGTGCCTGGAGCTGCGGAGGGCGGAGGTAGGCGCCTGGCCCTCGGTGAGGCCAGTCCTCCGAGGAGAGCCGCACACATGGCCCCCGAGCCGCCTCCCCAGGGACGTGACACATCGGCTCCCACCGAGGCGGCATCAGCAGCTGAGAGCGGGGAGGCGGCAGCAGAATAGGAGAAAAGCAATTTGACGTTTCTAATAAAGCGTCGCTCCACTTTGCCAAATTAATTTTGACTCCCATAATTATTTGCTGTAGGAGCGGCCGCGTTCCCCCACCGCCGCCTAATGAGGTAATTGGGGAATTAGGAATTAATGACTTTAACAGAAGTGACAACTGACTGCACGTCGCCAGCAGCTCTGGGGAGCCGCCTCTCCCCCGGAGTGCGGCTCGGAGCGCGGCTCCTAGGAAGCCCAGGTGTCCCGCCTCCCGGCCCGGAGCCCGGAGCCCGGAGGGCCTGAGGCCGGCCCTCGCTGGGCGCTGGCGCTGGGCGCTGGGCGCCGGCCTGGGCGCTGCAGTTGCTAACAATAGTGCTGCGGAGCGTGGCGGCTCCCCGCTTGGCGTGGGAGCAGATGATCTGTCTCCTGGGATGTCAGTTGTGGGTGGGTGGGTGGGGCTTGCTAGTACTCTGAGCAAGGCCAGCCTCAGTTTCCCTACTTTATTGAGGAAGATGCTGCATGTATAAAGTGTGTGTGTGTGTGTGTGTATGTGTGAGAGAGAGTGTGTGAGTGTGTGTATGTGTAGTGTGTGTGTGTGTGAATGTGTGTGTGTGAGTGTGTGTGTGTTTGTGAGTGTGTGTGTGAGTGTGTGTGAGTGTGTGTGTGAATGTGTGTGTGTGAGTGTGAATGTGTGTGTGTGGATGTGTGTGTGTGAGTGTGTGTTTGTGAGTGTGTGTGAGTGTGTATGTGTGTGTGTGTGTGGAGTGTGTGTGTGTGAGTGTGTGTGTGTGTAAGTGTGTGAGTGTGTGTGTGTGAGTGTGTGTTTGTGAGTGTGTGTGAATGTGTGTATGTGTGTGAGTGTGTGTGTGTGAATGTGTGTGTGAGTGTGTGTGTGTGTTTGTGAGTGTGTGTGAGTGTGTGTGTGAGTGTGTGTGTGTTTGTGAGTGTGTGTGAGTGTGTGTGTGTATGTGTGTTTGTGAGTGTGTGTGTGTGAATGTGTATTTGTGAGTGTGTGTGTGTGTGAGTGTGTGTGAGTGTGTGTGTGTGTGTGTGGAGTGTGTGTGTGTGTGTGTGTGAGTGTGTGTGTGAGTGTGTGTGAGTGTGTGTGTGAGTGTGTGTGTGTGTGTGTGTGAGTGTGTGTGAGTGTGTGAGTGTGTGTGTGTGTGAGTGTGTGTGTGTGTGAGTATGTGTGAGTGTGTGTGTGAGTCTGTGTGTGTGTGTGTGTGTGTGTGGCTTTCTCAGGTTCTAGCCATAGAACTGGACCCACCGGTGGGGAAGGGATAGGGCGTGGGTGTCCATGTGAGCCCTGGCTGCACTTCCTGCCCCCCAACTACCCAAACCCATCCGGACCCCATCTGTGAGCCACCCCCCCCAACCCCAGTACCACCCGCTGTGGGCCCCACTGGTGCAGGAGGCGCAGGCCGGCCGGGGCAGCCTCTCGGCAGGACCGGGAGCCGTGCCGGCCTGGGCTCCGTGCCTGACCCTGCCAGGCCGGTCCGTGGGGGAGGGGCGTGGGAACGCAGGAGGCTGAGGTCAGGGTGCGGCTGGGAGGGAGGGCATGACCAGGGCTCCAGTGAAGGCCTCATGGCCTTTGTCTGGGTCTCTAGATGCCTTTGGTCCCAAAGGTGGGCCGGCCTGGGCGGCCTCTCGGATTGCCCCTCCCAGCAATGTGAGCAGCGTCTCCCTGGACTAATGGGGGCATCGGCTGGAGTCAGACCAATGGGGCTCAGTCTGGGGTTCTTTCCTCTGAGCTGTGAGACGGCATGTCACGGACCCTCCCTCGGCGTGCCCCTCGGTGCAGGGGGATGCTCTGAGCTTCCCCCGACGGTTGCCATGGGGATGAAGGGAGCACGCTTCTGGGTTCAGTGACGCCTCCCTCTCCCGCAGCTCCACCGACCGAACTTCCCGGTCGGGACCCCAGGGGCCTCTGCAGGCTCCGTGGGTCCTCGTGGGCCTGGGCTGGTCCCAGGAAATGCTCAGAGGACTCTGCTCCCTTTCTCCAGCCTCAGTCCCCGTCTGTCTTCCGCCTGGCCCTCCCCTGTCGCAGCCCCTCCTCTGCCCACACCCCATGCTCACTCACCTTGGTTAAGTCCAACTTGGTTTATCTCCCTGAGCTCTTCCCATGCCTGTCATTCCTCCCCCAAAACACGCAGCCAGACCCCACCTCTGCTCCCCAATGTGAGAGGCCTCCCCTGACCTCCAGGGGGCCAGCGGGCTGCAGGAAGGGTGTCCTGAGGCCCGGGGGGGGGGGGGGGAGGGAGAGGGGGGAAGCTGGAGGCTGGGGTGGTGGGAGGGGGTCAGGCCTTCCCCAGGCAGGGGCGGGCTTCCCTGAACTTCTCTGTTGGCTGTGCCTTGGGGAGCCCCACCCTCTGAGCTCCGGCTGATCCCCATGGCGATCCTGGTTGGCCTGCCTGAGGCCTGGGCTCAGGGCCCTGAACAGAGTATGCACCCTGTACACCTTTGTGAACATTCTGATTGCACTAGAGACAAGAGGCAGGGGTGGCTAGTGGAGGCACCCCGGGTCCAGACTCTGCACCCCACAGGGGCTCCCCAGCCTGCCCACCTCTGGGCAGGTGGGAGGGTCGGCAGAGGCGGGGCTGGGGCAGTGCACAGCGAAGCTGAGAGGGCCCTGGCACTGGGCCGGGCTGGGCACGGCTCCCTCTTGGGCGCTGAGCGCTGCTTCTCTGTCCTCAGGACCAGGGCACCGTGGGGGTGATCTTTAATGTGGGCACCGACGACATTACCATCGACGAGCCCAATGCCATCGTGAGCGACGGCAAATACCACGTGGTGCGGTTCACCAGGAGTGGTGGCAATGCCACCCTGCAGGTGGACAGCTGGCCGGTCAACGAGCGGTACCCAGCAGGTAGGTGGGGGGCCTGGGAGCACGGGGCGTGTGCTGGGCGGGGCCCGGCAGGCAAGCCTTGGATAGGAGCACTGCCTGCACTGGGGCGGGGAAAGCCCAGTGTCATCCTGCTGTGGGCGGGGCGAGGCTACAAGAAGGTGTGGCTTGGGGGTGGGTGGGACCTGGATGGGCGGGGCTAAGGAAAACCAGCGGGTTTTGTGAGGCTGGGTTCTGTAGGGCCTGGGTGAGACCGGATCCTTGTGGGGTGAGGGAGAGGGCGGGCTGAGTGGGAAGACTGCCGGGCCAGGGTCCAGTTTGGGGAGGAGGGAGAAGGGCCAAGGAGGAGGGTAGAGGGAGAGGGACAGCTAAGGAAAGGAGGAGTTCAGAATTGGGACAGGTGGAAACGGGAGACAGATGCAGAAATCAAGGAGAGAAGATCCGGAAATAACCCAGCACACATCTTTGCAAGCAGGCAGGGCTGTTCTAAGGAACAAACCAAGGTTCTTACAAAGAGCGAGTCAGAGATCCCTATTAGGAAATGTAGGTAAAGGAGGAGACGTAACCATGGAGACCCAGAGGAAAGGAACCCCAGCGGCTCAGGGGGTGAGGGAGAGAGACAAGTGAGGAGAGTGAGAAATGTGGCCAAGTGCATGCAGCCGCCCTTCCCTGCTGACCTACGAGGTGTCAGCCTGCTCTGGGCCCTGGGCCGCGCGGGAGTGCCTGTGCCGGTGGGGACGGCGGGCACGGAATGCACACTGACCCAGTTCAAGTGTGACAAACCGAGGGAGGGACGGGGATGAGGACATGAAAGAAATGAGGAAGCAGAGACCCTGCAAGATACTGAGGGAGGCTGAGAGGGGCCGGAGGGGAGTGAGAGGAAGCCAGCGGGGAGCGGGGAGGGGGAGAGAGCCGCTGAGCCACAGCGAAGATGGGACCGCTTCCACAGCGCGATGTGCGGACGCGGTCACCCAGGCCCCGCAGTGAGAGGTGGGCAGGAGGAGAGGAGCAGAGCCTCCGTGCGGAGACAGGGAGGGAGGGGAAACTGAGCCACTGTGGGAGAACCACAGGAACTCGCATGCAGTCACCCTCTCGAGTGCGGACAGGCAGAGAGGCCTGCGCCTCAGGTCCTGTCTGGCGGCAGGGACAGTCGTGCTGGACGCAGGGCAGCTGCCCCGGCTGCCCTCGAGGCGTGCGGGCAACGGACAGGGGAAGGTGCAGGTCCCACCCTCACGGGCCCACTGGCTGGAAGGAAGATGCCAGGGTCGACTCACAGCTCACCATCGTGCGAACTTTACCCAAACATGGAGCCTCAGGCCCACTAATACACACAGAGGCCGTGTTCACACAGGCCACCTAATACACACAGAGGCCGTGTTCACACGGGCCACCTAATACACACAGAGGCCGTGTTCACACAGGCCACCTAATACACACAGAGGCCGTGTTCACACAGGCCACCTAATACACACAGAGGCCGTGTTCACACAGGCCACCTAATACACACAGAGGCCGTGTTCACACGAGCCACCTAATACACACAGAGGCCGTGTTCACACGGGCCACCTAATACATACAGAGGCCGTGTTCACACGGGCCACCTAATACATACAGAGGCCGTGTTCACACGGGCCACCTAATACACACAGAGGCCGTGTTCACACGGGCCACCTAATACACACAGAGGCCGTGTTCACACGGGCCACCTAATACACACAGAGGCCGTGTTCACACGGGTCACCTCCTGGCACCGAGTGACTGTGGATGTTCCTACGATGGGGCAGGCACAGGGCACAAAGCCCTGCTGGGGGGAGAGGAGAAGCCTGCTCCAAGGCCCGGGCGTCCGTGAGGTCGCTCAGACACACAGTGCTCCTATGCTGAGTCCCACCGTGCGGACACCCGCAGGCGCTGTGCGGGTGTGACCGCCCTGCGGGCATCAGACTGTCTCTGGCTCAGCCACATGCACACACACACACACACACACACACACACAGCAGTCTGTAGTGGTGAAGACAGCCTGTGCGGACAGGGCTGGATGGGGAAGGAGGGCCTCAGCACAGGGAGACATGTCTTCAGTCCTGAGCTGCTCCCGCTGAGCCCAGAGGCCCAGAGGACACGTGGGAGGAGTCACGCCTGCCCTCCTGGGCTCAGGCCCTGATGGGGGTGAGGGGGTAGGAGGGTGGGGGGGTGAAAGGAGGGAGACCGCTGGGTGCCCCTCACCTGCAGAGCAGAGCAGCCTGAGGCTGGTGGCTGCCCGGCGCGCCTTGAGCAGGTCCCCGGTCGGAGCGGCCGTCCTGAGCGCACAGCAGGCCAGGGACGCTGAGAGCGGGGCCTGGCGTCGGCAGCACCGGCTTTCACTCCGGGGGCGCCGGCTCACAGCTGTGTGGCCTTGGAGGCGTCATCCAGCCTCTCTGGGTCTCAGGTGGCCCCTGGTGCGGGCACCCATCTCCTCACAGAGATGCTGTGGGAGTCCCTGAGAGACGCCCGCGGAGGCACCAGGTGGAGTGGCCTCGAGGAGGGCTCGCCAACAGCTTTGGGTAGACCAGCTTTGGGCAAACCGCGGCTCGAGAGCCACACGCGGCTCTTTGGCCCCTTGAGTGTGGCTCTTCCACACAATACCACGTGCGAGCGCTCACATGCAGCGCGATTGGAACTTCGTGGCCCATGCGCAGAGGTCGGTTTTTGGCCTGGGCGAGTCTATTTTGAAGAAGTGGCGTTAGAACACTCAAAGGGCCAAAGAGCTGCATGTGGCTCATGAGCCTCGGTTTGCAGACCACTGGGTTACACGTGACGTGCTCAGCGAGGCACATGGACATCCTTCCTTTCCTCTCAGGGCACACACGGACAAACACATAGACACACAGCCACACACACGGGTGTCCCGTACGGGTGGGTTCCCGAATGCCTGCTGCCTCCCTCCCTGACTTCCTGCGGCCTCACCACCTCTCCTCTTCAGTGTCTTCCTGGGCCCCTCCCGCCCACCCGGGAGCCATGTCCAAGCCCCCCCCCCCCCAATAGCAGAACACAGCTCTGCTAGTCACCAGCCAGCCTCCCGAATGGCAGGGCTCCTGCCGGGCAAGGGCCAGGCCTTCATCTTCCCGCCCCTCGTACCCGGCTCGGGACCGAGCGGCCCCAGGGATGTTTGCTGAGTGACCAAAGGAATGAACGGTCATGTTTACTTACCAGTGAGCATGGGTGACTGCGTGTGTGTCTGCCTCGTAGCCCCCGGGGCAGCACCATGCACACAGGGACACGGGGGTGCTCCTTCAGGGGGTGCGCACAGGCCGGCGAGCGCAGCTGGGCGGTGGGGGAAGCGGGGAAGCCCCCCACCTCGGGTGCATGTTACTCTGCAGCATGTAAGTGGCTGCCGTGGGAGGCGTGGCCAGACTCCCGAAGGAAATCATTTCCGTTTCATGGCTGCCGACTGGGGTCACCCACAGCCCAGGGTGAGGGAGAGCTCACAGAACAGGCAGGCACATTGACAGACCTCCCTGTGTGCGCGCGCGCGCACACACACACACACACACACACACACACATGCACACACATATACACACATACACACGTATATACACATATACACACATATACATACACACATGCACACACATATACATACACACACACGCACACACACACACACACACACACCACTTGCTGCCCAGGCCTGCAGGAGGGGAGTGGAGGAGGAGCAGGCCACAGCCAGGGACGAGCTGAGGACAGAGAAGGGGAGCCTAGGGCGATGGGGAGCAGCGGAAGGAGAAAGGCTGTGAGTGGGGCCAGGAGCGGGGCGGGTCCACAGGGCATAAGGGGGAGGGGACCTGCACAGGGAGGAGTCTGAGGGTCTTGGGATGAAGCTGAGGTGCCGCCAGGCAGAGGACAGAAGGTGCCAGGGGGAGGGTATGGGGTGGAAGAGGAGGTGAGATGGCAGCAGAGCAATAGGGAAGTGGGGTGGGCGGGGCTGCTGGGTGAGGACCCAGGCACCCGTGAGGTCACCTGTGGGGTGACACGGTGGGGGCAGTGGTGGGCTTGGGCTCCTGGTCAGGTGGGTGCAGGGGTGAGGGTGGCAGCGGGTATCGGCGGGGCTGGGGGGGGGATGGAGGGAGAGCTGGGACTGAGCAGGGGGAAGGGAGCTGAGACTGGCATGGAGACATGTTTTTAAATTTCACTGTTAAATGAATGTCGGGCCACCCCCCTAAATGCTGCATAAACCCCTGCTTAACCTGCCCCCCACCTCTAAACGCCCTCTAAACCAGTAACCAGCTGGGCCCCAAGGCCCCGCCCCCGACTTAAACCTGCTAAATGCCCCCCACCGCTGCCCCTCTCTGGGATCGGGAAGGACGAGGGCCACTGCTTGAGCACAGAGAAACCTGTTTAACCTCTGACCTTTGACCTCCAGCTGCCTTTTCTTGCATCCCCTTTCCTTTTCTTCTTTGTCCTTCTGTTCCTTCGGGTCTCTCCTGCCCGCAGGGTGGGCTGGCTCCGGACGGGAGCCTGGGGGGCGGGCGGGAGGACCAGGGACCCAGTTTCTCCCCCCCTTCCCGGGGGACGGGCCGCTCCTGAGTCTCTTGAGAAATGCGTGATTACTTTTCTAACGCCTTTGGACTTCGCCGCCTGAGAAACCTACTGTCTTTCTAAACTTTTCCAAGGAAACTTTGATAACGAGCGCCTGGCGATTGCTAGACAGAGAATCCCCTACCGGCTTGGTCGAGTAGTAGATGAGTGGCTGCTCGACAAAGGTAATTAACCAGAATTAATTAATTAATTAATTAACTTTAAAAACACTATCTTAAAGGTGCAGAGCTCTCTCTTTCCCCATCCGAGCCTTCCCCGCCGCCCACCCCCGAGTGAAGGGACGCTTGTCCTGCGGGTGCCCCTTCTCCCTGCAGGCAGGGGCTGTCTTCGGGGTGCTGGGCCGGGCCCGGCGTGTCTCTGTAGGCCGGGGCGGGACCGGGTGACGGTGACCCCTGACCCCTAGGAAAGCAGGTAGAGTGCAGGGGGGAGGTCAGCTCAGGGCTCTCTGAGGGCCAGCGGAGGGCTGCGTGAGTGAGGAGCAGGAAGGGCTGACCCAGAGGAGGGTAGGGAGACTTCCCCAGGGTCATCTGAGGAGAAAAGGAAAGCGGGGGGCCCAGGTCCTACAGGAAAGGCCCCCAAGAAAGTGGCAGTGGGCCCCTCTCTGCAGTGGACCCGCTGTGGTCCGGAGGGGCTCCCCGAGGTAGAGGGGGTGTGGGGAGATGAGGGCAGAGGGGGAGGGGGAGCCGTGCCTGCAGAGCGGGGAGGGGCTGCCAGGGGCTGCTGGTGGAGGGAGAAGGCCACTTGTCACAGGGGAGCTGGGGCCGAGGGCCAGGCCATCCCATTCCCTCTGGGGGGGCGAGCTCTGTACCTCTAAGGCTAAACTCTAGGGGGGAAGCTGACCTGTTAAACCTCCATCTAACCAGCTGCTAACTGTGCTTCTAAACGTCACCGGGGCCTTCCCCAACTAAACCCCAACTCACTCCAGCCCCAGCCAGCGGGGACTAAACACGCCGATAACCAGATGATAAACCGGGCAGGACCGAAGGGAAAGGGGCTGCGCAGGCATCGCTCACCCTGCAGCCCCAGCCGCACCGACCCTCCAGCGGGGCGAACTTTAACCCTTTGAGGAGTTCATGGCAGGTGGGGCCAAGGGCCACGTTTGCTAACCGAGTAGCTTCCCCATCGCCACCGCCCTCTCCCGGAGTTAGAGGCGCAGGGAGCGGCCTGGGCTGAGGCTGGGACAGCTTGTGACCCCAAGGGGTCTGGAGAGCAGGGCGGGCGGCGTGGGGGTGGGACTCCTGGTCCAGGCGGGAAGAGCTGGGCTGGAGATTGGACCCCGCCTCCCCCGCTGCGTGGTCACACCTCCTCTTCAGGCCTCTACTTCCTCTCCTCGGACGGGAAGGACTGGCTCCATCAGTGCTTCCGGCCTGGAAGGAGGAGCTCAGCCTTTGTGTGGCCTTGGGGGAGAGGGTCAGGACTGGCCTTCTCCTCCGGAGCCTCAGCTCCCCCCCAGGGGGATGGCGCCCCCCCACACACACACACACAGGTGCCTGAGGGGAAGGCAGGAGGCATGGCATCCCTGGAGGATTATGCTGGCAGCGCCTGGCATGTGGACGGTGCTCGATAAATATTTGCTGGATGAATCCGTTTTCCCGTTTCACAATGTGTCCGGGAAGCACGGGGCCCAGAGATGCTCAGGAGAGGCCTGTGAGCGGAGCCCGGGAGAGGCGAGGCCGTGCTCCCTCCCGGAGGCGAACAGGAAATTGGCCCCTAAAGGAGAAAGAAACAGACTCCCCAAACGTGTTTGACTGCTGGGGGCCCTCTCCTCCTCCTCGTTCTCCTGATTCTTGTGCCGGAAGTAAGTCCTGGGCACCGTGACCCTCCTGGGTCTGGCGTTCCGGCTGCCGTCACCAGCGCGCAGCTTCTCGGGGCTCCGGCCCCCACGTGTAAGGTGGAGGGGCTGCCCCGGCCGAGGGGGGGGGCTGCCGGAGGAGGGGCCGAGCAGACACCGGAGGGTGGGTGTCCCCGGAACGCGTGTTTCCAAAGAGAGAAAGGGTTTCACAAGCTGGACTGTCCTCAGCCCGGGCACCTAACTCTAAACCAGATCCTAACGAGGCACTAACCAGAGCTAACGAGGGCTCAGCCAGGTCCTAACCCCCAGCGCCAGCGGCCGCGGAGCGGGGGGCAGCGCCAGTTCCTCTGCCCCCTCCCTCCCCAAAATAAGCCAAACCAAAACCAAAGTTAAATCTAAACTTAAACATAATAAATATCTTTTCTAAAAACCAAACAAAGCAACAAACTCAGAGGGTTAAACCGACCCCCAGATCCATTAAAATCAGAGGCACAGAGACCCACCAGGTGGGAGCTCCGAGGGACGGCTGAGTGAGGAGTGGGATGGAGCTGGAGTGGGATGGAGCTGGAGCGGTCTGCTCTTCTGGCTGCAGCAGCCAAGACAGGTCCCTTTAACGTTTCCGTCCGTGCCGCCCATCCTGTCCCTGGGGGGCCGCTGCGCCCCGGGGCGCTCCGGGGGCAGTGTGGGGCCTGGGAGGACAGCGGGAGCCTGGCCGGAGGTCTGCAGGCCTGGCGGTGTCTGGGAGGGCAGAGCGAGGTCCTGGCGGCTTCTCCCACCCTCACGCATCCCTCCTCACGCACTGCCCGCACGCACTGTCCGGTCCGCCCTCGGCTCTGACACGCACTCGCACTAACACTGGCCCAGTCCGCGGCTTCCTCCATCTGCCTCTGTGCGATCTGCCGCTCCAGGGCCTCCGCTCCAGGGCCTCCGGGGCGGGGCTGGGCTGGGTGCTGGGTGTGGGCGCTGGGGAAGCAGAGGGAGCAGGTGGGGATGGGAGCAGGAGAGGAGAGGAGAGGAGAGGAGAGAGGAGGGGAGGGAAGGAGCGGGGAGGAGAGGGCAGGGAGGAGAGGTGGGTGGGAAAGTCAGGGACATGACATGGGGAGGGGGGCGCTGGATCCCACTGGCCGGGCTGGGCTGTGGCTGACAAGGACTTTCCCTTTGGTGTCTGCCCCTCCTGTGTCTCCCTCTCTCCCTTCCCCCACTTGCTGGTTTCCATCTCGACTCCTTCCCCTCCCCTGGCTCTTCTCCATTCTCCCTCCTTTTCTGGTCTCCCCCCTGCCTGTCCCTCCTCTATCTGTCACCCCTGCCCCCCTCCCCCCAGGCCGCCAGCTGACCATCTTCAACAGCCAGGCTGCCATCAAGATCGGGGGCCGGGACCAGGGCCGCCCGTTCCAGGGCCAGGTGTCGGGCCTGTACTACAACGGGCTCAAGGTGCTGGCGCTGGCCGCCGAGAGCGACCCCAACGTGCGGACCGAGGGCCACCTGCGCCTGGTGGGGGAGGGGCCGTCCGTGCTGCTCAGCGCGGAGACCACGGCCACCACCCTGCTGGCCGACATGGCCACCACCATCATGGAGACCACCACCACCATGGCCACCACCACCACCCGCCGCGGCCGCTCGCCCACGCTGAGGGACAGCACCACCCAGGTGAGCCCGCCCCGGGCAGACCGGGCGGGGCAGCGGGGGGCCCCGGGCGGGGCGGGGGGCCGGGGCCCGGTGGTGGTGACGGCTCCGGTGAGGCGGCCGGGGTCCCCTTCCACGAGGTGTCCTTCGCCCTGGGACCCCGATGTGGAGGTGCCCACTGTTCCTCGGGGACCACCCCAGAGCGGAGGGGCGGTTTGGTGCCCAGCGAGACCAGGGAGGATGCCCGCCTGGGCGGAGGCTGTTGGCGAGGGAAGCTGCGCGAGGGCTGGGCCGCCGGTGGCAGCCGCGGGATCAGGATGGCACCGCTCCGGGCACAGATGGCAACACTGGAGGAACATGGCCCCCGGCAGGGCAGCCCCCCCCTGGAGGCTGGCACAGCCCGGAGCGGCCTCTGCCTGCTGGAGGCCCCGCTCCCCCCCGCCCCGTGGCCCCGGCAGGCGGCACGTGCAGCGGCCTCCGTGCCCCCAGTGGGTGCGGACCTCACCTCCCAGCGCCCGCCGCCTGCTCAGCTGCTGGCCCGGGCCCGGCCCGCCCAGGGACTTGTCCTCTCTGGTTCCCCGGGTGGCCAGGCCGGCTTTCCTGGTGGCGACTCCATAGAGCCGAGTGACTCACTGAGGCCGGGGGGGTGTGGGGTGTGTGTGTGTGGGGGGGGGCTGGCCAGTTGTTGCCACAATCCAGGGAGTGCGCACACCCGGCACGCTGGGCCTCGCTGAGTCACCCTGCCCCCGACCCCCGCTGCTCTGCCCCGCTGCTGTGGCAGTTGGGCCTCTGGGCCTTGAGGACTGTCCCCCGGCGTGGGGCGTGTCCTGCCTTTGGCCTGTAATGAGCTCCGTGAGCTCCTGGCCCCCCCCCCCCCCCCCCCGCGGCCGGTGTGCCCAGGGGCCTGGGACTGGCTGTCGGGCAGGAGAGGCAGGCGGACCCTCCCTGCACTGCCTTCGTTACCACGAAAACCACGGGCACTCGCATGCCAGGCCTTGCCCTAAGGAGCGGGGCCCTGGGAGAAAGGCTGGGCAGCCACAAGCCCAGCGCCCTCCAAACACAGGCCGGAGGAGTGGCAGGTGATGGGCAGGCCGTCCCGTGGGCAGAGCGGCCGTAGGGGTCATGGCTGTGCTGCTGAGGCCCCGGGGAGGCTGGGGAGAAGGGGCAGGATGCAGGGTGCTCAGGGCCCGCCAGGCCCGCCAGCCCTTGGGTGAGGGCGGAGGGGTCTGAAGATCAGGGGGTGGGGAAGAGGGGAAGAGGCAGGGTATACCTCTTTCTCCCTCCTCACCCCAGACTTCTCCCATCCTGACCTTCACCCGGCCCCCTCCCCCCTGCCCCCCAGCCAGCAGTCTCCCAGGCTCCCTTCCTGCCTGGACCCTGGGTTTCCCTCCCAGGGTCTTTTCCCTACACCCCCGCCCCCCCGCCCCCCCACACACTTACTCATCTTGGGGATTCTCTTTCTTTGCAATCAGGAGAGAAAATGCTGACAAAGTCGACTCCTGTTGTCATGACAACCACAGCCCTAATTATTGTGTGCAGCCTGGTTCCCGGCTCAGGGAAGGGGGTTGGGAGAGATGAGGGTGATGGGGTTGTCAGGCTGGAGCCAAGGGGCCCCAGGCCCTGCTCCCCCTCTCTGCCCTGCTGGCCTCCAGAGGCCCCCGATGGCCTGGTCCCCGTGCCCGAGCCTGAGGTGCCAGGCGTGGTGCCAGCCTCCCGGTGCCTCGGGAGCTGAGGGCGTGTTGCTTACTCTGCCTTTGAACAGGGAACCAAGGCCCAGGTTACCCGCGATGACCGAGCTGGGCATGGACCCCATGCCCTGTGCCATCCTGTACCTCAAGAGGTGAGGGTCTGCTGACCCACCTGTACCCCTCTTCTTCCCCCCTCCCTCCTCTACCCCCCAGAACACAGATGACCTCCTGGTGGCCTCGGCTGAGTGTCCGAGCGATGACGAGGACCTGGAGGAGTGTGAGCCCAGTACCGGTGAGTGCCTTTCCCCCCTCCCCCGCCCCGGGCCCACTGTGACTTCGACGGGAGGGGGGCGACTGTCCCTGCCCCCTGGCCAGGCCCAAGGGGCCTGCTGCCAGCCCTTAGCTTTCCCTGACAGCTCCTCTCCCTACTGTGCCCCCCCACCCCCCACCCCCAGGTCCCTCTGTGCCCGCTGGTGAGGCAGTTCCTGTTTGGTGGCCCAGCCCTCAGAGGTAGTGAGGTCCTTAGCTTGGGGTCTGGGGTTGAGAGCCAAGGGATGCTGGGAGGGGAAGAGGGAGACTTTTCCCTAGAAAGTTGAGTGACTGCAGCTCCCATGAGCCCTGGGGGAGGAGGGTTGGGAAATGCAGGTTTAGGAACTACAACTCCCATCAGCTCTTGGGTCCAGAACTGCAACTCCCATCAGTCCCTGAGCCTGGTGTTCCCTTGGTCACTAGTAGAGGAGCTTGTGCTAGATCCTGAAGCTTCCTCATCCCCAGTCCCAGGGAGGTGGCAGACATTCTGTCAGGGCAGCAGCCGGGTAGGAGGGAAGGCTCCTCGGGTGGCAGTCCAGCCTCTGCTTGCTCCTTCCAGGCAGCCCCAGAGAGAGGCCAGAGTGGCAAAGCAAGGGTGGGCCCTGAGTGCCGACCGTGAACTGAGGGGCCAGGAGTGGCACAGTGGGCGCAAGGGCTGCTCGCCCGAGCAGGTGGGAGGGCGGCTGAGAGGAGCCGAAGTCCTCGCGCTGAGGCTGAGGGGGGCAGGGGCTCCGCAGCCTAGAGGAGCCCATGAGCACGCATCCCCCGCTTGGGTTTCTCCAGCAGGTGGCACCTGGGCTGCTGGTTCGGGAGGCTGGAGGCTGGGCGGGCACATGTAGGTTCAGGGAGGCGATGCGGTCAGCTGGGGGGGACAGGGTCCACCCTGTGAACCTGGCCGGGGGCTGGGCCCGGGTCTGCCAGCCCCAGAAGAGGCTCATGCGGAGGGTGGGCTCGGCCGCGGAAGGTGTGTGGTGGAGCCTCAGCTTTTGAAGACTGAAGGTGGGGTTCTAGGGTGCCGGCCTTCACACCCAGAGGCTGGAGCCCAGCTGCCCTCTGTGTCCCCCTGAGGATCAAGACATTTGGGGAGCCCAGGCCGCGGGGCTGGAGAGGCCCCATGTGCAGCCCAAGGGCCTGTGCTCTTGGAGCAGACGCCCTCTGCCCTCCGCCCTCTGCCCTCCGCCCTCCGCCCTCCGCCCTCCGCCCTCTGCCCTCTGCCCTCCGCCCTCCGCCCTCCACCCTCCGTTGTGGGACTCCCTCCCTCTCACCCTCACACTCCACCGTAGCTTTGGCAGCTGGCAGCGGGAGCTCAGCACTCCCCCTCCGCTCTGCTTTATCCCCTCTGCCTCATCTCTTCTGAGGTTCCTGCAGGTGCCGTGCCCTGGGATAGGGCTCTATGTGGCCCCACCACGCGTGTTTGCACACATGCTCCGTGTTCACACTCTGGGAAGGGAACTGTGGGGTGAGAGGAGGTGCCCTCCCCCCACAGGGAGGGGTGAGGCCCGGATGGCCACCACACAGAGACAGGCCCCCTGGGCCACACTGTCCACCGAGGTCCTAGCTTCCCAGCCCCAGCCCGAGTCTTGCTAGGGGCCTGGTGCAGTGGTCGGCAAACTCATTAGTCAACAGAGCCAAATATCAACAATACAACAATTGAAATTTATTTTGAGAGCCAAATTTTTTAAGCTTAAACTTCTTCTAACGCCAGTTCTTCAAAATAGACTCGCCCAGACCCTGGTATTTTGTGGAAGAGCCACACTCAAGGGGCCAAAGAGCCACGTGTGGCTTGAGAGCCGCAGTTTGCCGACCACTGGCCTGGTGTGATGCTGAGGGTGCAGGTGCTGTGCTGGGAGAAGGGAATGAAGAAGGGCCGAAGCACTGCCCTGATCGCTGGCACTCCTGGGAAAAGGGCCAAGAGCGTGATGGAGGCGAAGAGGATGGAAGCCAGCGGGCAGGGAGGGGGTGGGCTGGCCTGGCTCCCAGCTTTAAAGTAGGAGGGAGAGAAGGCAGAGCACGCTGAGCCCCGGAGGACACCCACAGGCTCCCAGACACGTGTCACACGCCTGCACTTGAAATGCCTCAGGCTGGGCTCTTGTCATCCTGATGGGGGGCCAGGCAGGACCAGGACAAGTCCTGGGTTGCCCAGGACCCACATCCGGCCCCCACCTGAGGCCTTTGCTCTGGCACAGGACCAGGCCCCCTTGGGCCCGAGGTCAGCCTGGGGGGAGGAGGTGGCCTGGGGGAGACTGGCTGCCAGGGACTGAGCCCAGGGTGTTCGCACCCCTTCCGCCTGCCGGATCCTCCCCTCTGGGCCCAGGAGTGAAGCCTAGGATCATCCCTGCTCCTCTTTCCGCCTTTCCTGTGACCCAGCCCTGTACAGACCCGGCTCCATGCCCGCCCCCAGCACGGTCATTGTACCAGAGGTTGGCCATCCTGTCACAAGGGTACGGCTTGATGGACACGGTGTTTACATTCTTTGTGTGGGCATGTACTCACAGTGGGTCCCAGACCCACCGCCCCTCGCTGCCTCAGTGCCTGACCCACATACTGCTATGCACCGGGCCCCTGTAGGGATCTGAGTTTGCACAAAAGCTCAGACCACAGAGGCACACATCCATATGCACACGCAAGTCTGGCCAGAGGCTATGAGCACATCCATGCACATGTTTACGAACCTACCAGCAAGCTCACATGTAGCCACTTTCGTAGGTATGTGCATGTGCTCAAACCTATAAGACTCCATGCCATTTGTACCCAGACCAACAGAGACACGCACATGCTCAGATTTTTTTTTAATATATTTTATTGATTTTTCATAGAGAGGAAGAGAGAGGGATAGAGAGTTAGAAACATCGATGAGATAGAATCATCGATCAGCTGCCTCTTGCACACCCCCCACTGGGGATGTGCCCGCAACCAAGGTACATGCCCTTGCCGGGAATCGAACCAGGGACCTTTCAGTCCGCAGGCCGACGCTCTATCCACTGAGCCAAACCGGTCCCGGCCATGCTCAGATCTTAACACACACATACACAGAGCCCTAGAACAGCTGTTGAACTGTCCACAGCAGCACACATCTGCACACACATGCAGTCTCACAGAGGCACACATACACAGCTACAGTCTTGCACATTTGTGCTTAGAGCTCCAAATATATCTACATATAGGTGTGGACTCACAGGTGCCCCCTGCTCAGACCCACAGTTTCATACTTACCCAGGTGCCCAGCCAAGCACAGATGCACGCACAGCATGTCTTGAATGCACCACAGCACTTGCACATGCTCAGAGCTGCACATGCATGTGTAGACCCACTGTGGCATGCTTGCTCACATGTTGAGGCATGCATATTCCGAGTGACACTTACATGCTAGATCTAGAGGAGCACGATGCACTTGTATGTTCAGGCCTGAGCATACACACGTGCTCAGAGCCATCGAGGCACACACATGTCCATGTCCTCAGATTCACAGAATTCCATATCCCTGCTCAGCTCACAGGTGCACACATGTGGTCAGACCTTTATGATCCTACACACGCACTCAGGCTTCCAGCTGCTCACAGAAGTTTTGGAATTGCAGGTGCATGGATTCATGTTCAGAACAGCTGCACACACAGCGTGCTCAGACCCGTGACTGAGCAGTGCCCAGGTGCAGGTGCACAAACGTGAGGAAGTCGGGCTCACAGAAGTGTACGTTTATCTCCTCCCAAGTACACACTCGTGCTCAGACCCTCACAGGGGTGCTCTCAGGTACCAACATGTGCACTCCTTCCCGCAGAGCGTGCCTGTGCACACAGCGCACCTGTGCGATGACCATCAGGTAACCTGTGCACATGCTCAGGTAGGCTCCGTGTGCCCAGGTCCAGGGTCCAGACCCTTGCACACTTTTGTTCTGACTTACAGACCGGCACCCGCCCCCACTGGCCAGGAGAGAGCCTGAGACCAACAGCTCATTCTTATGTGTATAGCCATGTGCTCAGACACACACGCATGCCCAGACCCCTCAAGGCATGCATCCGCGCACCAGTCCCACAGTGATGGCACCCGCGCACAGGTCTGCATTGGTGCGCCAGCTGCTCCTGCACGGCAGCCGCGCCGCTGGCAGGGAGGGGCGTGCACGTAGCCTCGGCTCCCGCTGAGTTCAGGTTCGCGCAGGCACAGATGTGTTCAGATCCCCGAGTGTCTTAAGGTAACACTAGTTCTGTCACAGGTGCACCGCACAACATCCGTGGTGTAACACGGATTTATTCCCCCCGCCCCATGCAGTTATGCACAAGTGTTCCTGTGTGCGGCAGCCCTTCCCCAAGTGCCCACTAAGGGCCCAGGCTTCCGAGTGCGGGGGGCTCGCGGAGGGGAGGGTTTGCGGGCCAGGCCTGGGCGGGAGGTGCACGTCGCTCCTGCCGGTCCTGCCCCCGGGAGCCGGCCCCGGAAGGTGTGGCCAGCAGAAACAGGGTGACAGCTGGTGACTTACTCGCTGCGGTCTGCTTTTCCAGTCACCAGTGACCCATTCCGTTCTTCCCACCCACAGCACACCACCCCTCCCAAGGGGACCCCGAAAGCCCACCTAGTGAGGGCTGTGACCTCAAAGGTGAGGTGGCTGCCCACTCCATGGGGTACTGGCCTGGCTCCTTGGTACCGTGTGCGGTCTGGATCCCCACCAACTAGTTGATCTCATGGCCCAGCACACACCCGAATACAGTGGTGGGCCAGAGAGCCACCCCCCACCCCCGCCCCCCAGTCAGCCTCCCAATCGAAAAGGGTTGGAGGGGAGGCAGTGGCTCCTGGCTCCGAGCGCAAGGAAGTCCGCCAGCAGAGCACAGAGCACAGTGCACAGAGCACCGAGCACAGTGCACAGAGCACCAAGCACAGCACAGAGCACAGAGCACTCGCCTGCGGTGGGCAGGGTTGTCCTTAAACCCTCCTCTGCTGCTGGGAGAGATACCCTCCCCCTGGCGCTGCCCTCTGGAAGGTGCTTCCTGGCTTCCC